CGGGTGCAGCCACTGTTAAAGGTAATCTAATGTATATCAATACGCAACAAAAAAATGGTTTTGAGCGGAATTCAATTAATAGTGATGCTTTGTCAACAATATATATGTCATTTTATAGTAAAATAATTAAATAGGCTTTATATATTTTCTTTAATAAAATTTGTTAAATGTTGTACAAATGTTCCCAGTTTTCCTACGTTTTTCCTGGTTTTCCCATGTTTTATCCCGGTTCTTCACATTTGCTGGGAAAACTCTTGGGAAAATCAAAAAATGACTTCTATTGAGTACCTCGATAGTGAAATTTTCTTTTATAAACATTGCTACCATTAAAAGTTGGAGCAAAAGTGCTGGTTGAAAAGTTGTACATATAAAAAAATAAGACCGTAATGTATTTTAACTAATACTTACATTATTTCCCGTTTTCTTACGGTTTTTTAAGTTTGATGAGAATACTCATGAGAAAATGGAAAGATGAGCTGTTTAAAATACCTCCCCAGTCAGATTTCCTTTTATAAACATTATAAATTGGAGCGAAATTGCTGGTAAAAAAGTTGTGCACAAAAAAAAAACGTAATATATATTAACTAACATATAAATTTCTTATATTTTCCTGTTTTTCCTTAGTTTTTTTTGCAGTTTTCAAATTTGATGAGAAAACTCCTGAGAAAATTTAAAAATAACCTCCCCACACTGGTTTTCTTTTAGAAAAGATGTTACACTCAGAAATCTGGGCAGAACTTCTGGTAGAAAAATTGCACACAGATAAAAACAAAAAAAAAACCTATCTTTGTATAACCTTAAGCTTCTTCGTTCCACTTTAAATCTAAAAAAATTGAAAACAAATAATACCCCATTTTTTAGAACGTTGGTTTTATTTTTTAGAAACAAATTAAGGGTGACTTAACATGTGCAAAAACATACCAAACAATTATGTGAGCATATAAGAAAAATCCTAGAGAATTTAATAATATTGTATGTCTAACGAACGAACAGGGGTATCGATTTAAAGGGCCAGGTCGGTTTATATCGGCCAATCACCTTTTTTCCTAAATGAGATAGGTATAGGCAACTATAGTTTCATGTCACCAGGTTTTGGAACAATATTACACAACCTAAAATCCAAAACAACGGGTTCCTTTGTAATAGGCAACTCAACACACCGGATGCTGTAGGTTTAGCAACTTCATGAGTTGGACTGCTTCGCGCACGCATTAGTTGATCTACTTGTACTGAGTTGGTAAATTACCTCCCCAGTCAGATTTCCTTTTAGAAACTTTGATATCGTTATAAATTGGAGCGAAATTGCTGGTAGAAAAGTTGTGCACAGAAAAAAAAAATCGTAATATATATTAACTAACATATCATAACATAACCTTATGTACTTGGATGAGTCACTTTTATAAAGCAAAAGAAAAAATTAATTTTAAAATTATTCAAAAAAATAACATTCGGGCCAAAGGGTTTATGAAATATGGTTTTAGGGGAAATACTATTTGGGATATATTCTATTTGGGAAAAAGGGTGTTGGGGGAAAATACTGGGAATCGTATTTAGTATATGTGTTAGTACAACTACATAGGTACGACACTGCCATACTAGAAATCTCATCAGCCATCTTTATCACTCATTGACTTTAAACAGTTCAAAGTATTATTATTATTCAATTGTGTTTATTTAGGATCTACGGTTAATTATTTAAATCATTTTTAATAATATTTGTTTTAAATAAGTTGAAAGCGGCTCTCCAGAGATAGTAAAAAAGATGATGGAGATATAGGTAGTATAGGTATAGTATGATATATCATTTTTGGTGATTGCTAACACCTTGACGACATCATGCTACGCCACTGGTTAATAATAATACTTTTTAAACAATATATATATGGTATACGTTATATGTTATATCTATATATATATGTATAGTAAAATATTGAAACAGTTCGTATGAACCAGTAACTAGATTTTTTCCACATAATTTTTTACTAAAATGATTTTTATCAAATTTTGATATTAAAATTCTTACATAAAAAAAAATATTACATTAACTCAATTTTTTTTTATTACAAACAACAACTTCTTATGAACCACCTGTTAAATTTTTAAGCATTTCTGTTTAGTCTAACAATTTTATTCACAGATTACCTACCAATAGAAATGCCTCACAAAATTAAAAATATCTATAAAAAGCTCAAAAAGGCAAAAACATTTTTACAGTTTTAGCACATCTAAAAAAGGCAAATATAAGTTATCTGTTCAAATTTTATATCACTACGAATATTTTAAATGAATTAGAAATGCATAATTTTCGTAAATTTCCCTGTTTTTTCGACATTTTATTATCCTGGTTTTTCCTAGATATTATAAAAACCACTTGAAAAATCAAAAAATGACTTCCTTAAAATACCATGTTGATAAAATTTCCTTTCAGAAAAGGTACTATACTTCATAAATCGGAGCAGGATTTTTGGTAGAAAAGTTTACAAAGTTAATCGAGGAGTATTTTTCGATTGAAATAGTTCGAGCGAGTGATGGCCTGGATCTCTAGGTACACTTTAAATGTATTTGTTTTCGAAACTCAGGGTTGAAATTGCGATCTCTAGGATGACAATAAGTTTGCACCACTAAACGACAGATATACTATAAAAATTAAAATATTGAGTTATATAATATAACATATAATATCCGCAAAGCATAAGAACTTCAAAAATTCGTGATTTCAACACTAAGTCAGTCCACTCAATTTTGACTTTATCATCGTTCTTAAGGGGCCTGTGTGAAGCAGTTTATTAAGGAGTAAAATTTAAAAAATTTCTATTCTCATCGATGGTGACCAGGATCTTGCGTCAGTCGTAAACGATTATTTGTGTGAGTACACTTCCATGCGTGTTCCGCTGCACTGATACTACATAGGTGTATAATGGTAGGTACTACTAGAACAGTGTTTCCTGACCCAAGGGTCGCAACCCAATTCTTTTTTTCTTGCGAACAACTTTTCTACTAGCAATTTTGCCTGATTGGCAATGATAGCACTTCTTCTAAAAGTAAATCCGACTGGGAAGGTAGTTTAAGGAGGTCATTTCACATAGTTTTAAATTTAGTCATTCCCAGTTTGTCTAAATGCCACAAATAAAATGATTCATTACTCTGTTTGTCTTAGAAAAATTTGTAATTGAAGCATATTTTATTACTTTTTAAAGCTAATTGTTTGATGTATTTTTATTTTTTTTTCAGTTTAAAGAAAGCTGCTTTAGGACTAACAAAATTTAAAGATCATCACCCGGGGATTTCAACATTAACTATGTCACAATAAGGCATGATAAGAAGGCTGAGTATTAACAAGTTAATAAGTTAAAGTTATGTAATTTTAACTTTTAAACTTAATAAATTAATTTTTTTATTATCACCAACTTAATTATTAGCATAAGAATAATTAACTTTAATTAACTGGTGTTAATTTTACATTTAAATTAGTTTAATTGATTTCAATTTTAATTATTATATTATTGTATAAAATATAAATACGCATAATAAATAATAATTATTATTATGATATTACAAATATTATCAATGTTTGATGACTATACTCGGTATTACTGCGTTTATTTTTATATAATAGATGGGAAGACCGAGGTACGAAGAAATAATCAGACAATAATACGGAGCATGGCATTAACCAAAAACTTATTTAGTTTTATTTTAATAATATTAGTTTTCACAAAATATTGTACTACTGTACTTTTCTAGTAACCCTCTGTAATTATTAGTATATTTTAAATTTAAAACTTTCAGAAAAAGTTTATCTTCAAAAAAATAAAACAAATGTTTTGAAATAGGTATTTATTATTTATTAATTTAGTCACCCTTATAACTAAAGCATATAATAACTAAAGAGACTTAACACATTTTTTTTTTTTTTTACTAGTATACTAGTAGACCACTTAACAGTCAATAAATGTAGTGATACCTTTTAGCTAAACTTAATTTATGATTTTAATTAACGTAATAAAATGAATACAACCAATTTATAAAGTTCAATAGTTCATTAGGTAATATATATATTAAGGAAAATAAAAATTTAATAAGACTACAAAAATCAAGTATTTCAATGGCGGGTCGGCAAAACATTTTCTTTGATGAAGCTATGTATTTTGCTGCATGAGTTGATTCTCTTCAGTGAAGCACCTTGTGATATACAATATTTTTCGTCATGTTGTCAGGTGCAAGAACAAATAAAACGGATGGTTTGCCGACATGATAACATGCCAAGTACAATTGACCTTGAGAAAAACATTCCTTTTTTAAATTCAGACCACAAACACTCAAGGATTGTTCTTAAGAACATCTTTCTGATATTTTAATAGTTATTCTGCTATTCGGGTCCAACAAATCCAACGAATCCAACAAATCGAAGATCATCAAAATCGGTTCAGCCGTTCTTGAGTTATAAATGGTGTAACTAACACGGCTCACGAGTTAGTTATATATATACATATATAGATTAAATTAACACAACACAAATATTTATGTACAATTTTAAATTTATTATTAAAGATCTTATATTAAGGTTATATTTAAGATTGATCATAATAGTAAAAACGTTAAGGTGATTTAATAATAATAAAAAAAAAAAACAAATAAATAGGGTCAGAGGTGGTCAAACCGTAAGAGGGGAGGGTGAGAGGATGTAACTCTTTCATTAATTAATTGTTTTAAATAATAATATTCAGGGTATTTATTAAACTATTTTTCTCCATTTGAATGGTTTTATCAAAACAAGAAATTGTCTATACACGACTCTTAGGAAGCAGTCTGTATCCAATCCTCATAAAAAGCTATTATTAATCGCATTTAATAAAAAAAAAACATGTAAATAATAAAAGTTCTTAAAAAAGTACTCCTCCCCCATAATATACATCATTTAACCACCACCGCATATGATCTATTACTCTAAGCTACTCTATGCTATCGAGGAACTTCAGTAATTTGATTAGTTTATCCTTTTACTTTATTTTACGCTTCAGTTCACATATATGATCATACAGATCTTGAAGCAAGACCAACGGTGAGTCATCTGGAACTAACGAGCTGATAATATGATAACGGTGCAACAGCTCTATCTGTTCGCTATTAAAAAAAACAAAAATCACAAAACTAAAGTTATGGTGTGTTGCTCAACATCAAATTACAAACTAAAGAGCAATTCACTGTAACATTGATTACACAATAGACGGGTAGTCAATGGTATAAGGAAATACGTTTATTTGACTCTATCATTCCATAAGAGCTGCATTTTACAAATTTTATCCAAATATTCCTACGCCATAGCATATCTGTTTATTGTATAATCAATTACTGCAGTATAGACTTACGAATTTCCTCTGTACAGCGGAATATTCAAATGTTCTTGTAATATTTTTGCACAAATCGTAACGTCGCTCCAAGGAAAAAAGTAGTTCACCAATTTGTTTAATGAAAACAGTAGTACATGACCAAATGGTGTGAAGTTAACACAGTAGATAATTTTATCTTCGAATATTGTACTATGGATCTGCATTTAAAATATAATACATTTACAAAATTATATAAAAATTATAATTGCAAAGCTTATTCATAGACTTTATGTTTTCTTAAGAATATTAGGTAGTTATATTAATAATCATTTGTTTACAATGTTATAAAATAATGATTATTATTTATTATAACAATTTTAAGGCATTTATAATTATATTCTTCTCTAAATATATTACATCAGTGATTCTCAACGGGGGTGATATCGCCCCCTAGTGGGCAGTGAAGGGCTACTGAGGGGCGGTGAATAAGTTTTAGGCGGTTGGGGGGCGATGAACTAGTTTTAAATGGTAGTGTTTACGCAAAAACGTTATACATGGTGCTACCTAAAAATAATCTATAATATTATAATAAGTAAAAATATTTTGAACATACGGCTTTTATCGGCCAATAACGATTATTCAATTTTATCTTTAGATAAAATAATAATATGAGTATATAATATATAATATTGCGTTTAGTATGTTATCTACGTTTATTGAGAGTAATAAACGGCGGAGCCTTTCTTGCCGACTACTGTTTAGTACACTGATTGATTCGACCCGAGCATATTGTTTTGGTTTGTGTTATATTATTCAATCGGTTAAGAACGTGCGTTTCTAAATTATTTTGCTGTTTCGTAAAATATTAATTTTTCAAAAATGTCAGATACAACAAGAAAATGTCGTCAATATAATACTACGTATTTAAAGTTCGGATTTATTCCATCGCCATCCAACATGCAGCTACCAATGTGTTTACTTTGTAACAAAGTGTTTGCTAACGAGGCAATGAAACCTTCTCGTTAGCAGGAGAATTTTCAAAAAGTTCACCCTGACAAAATCTATTCATGTAGTTATTAAATAATTACATGAATAGATTTTGAAACCTTTTTTGTATTTTCAATATAATTGAAAAGGTAAATTAATAATAATTTGTATAATTTACATTGACATTGTTAAATAAACCAAAAAATATAAAAAGTAGCTAACATTTTATTCGTTAGTTAAATTTAACAATTTAATTTTTAACTATATATTTTATCTATTTTAATTTTAGATTCTGAGTTTAGCAAAGAAAGTATTGGTTTTATTAAAAGATGTTTTTTTTTGTTTTTTATGTGAACACTTTTTCTACTAAAAAGCTTACCCTGATTATCAAGTATATAGCACTTTTTCTAATAAATCTGTGTGGTACTTTAAAGTGGTAATATTTTGAAATTCTCATTAATATTCGAGATAGTGAGGAAAACCTGGTTCTTTAGGTTAAGAGATTGAAAGATTAGAAATAAGGTTGTCATTGTCAACCAGTTTTATTTATTTTTTGTTATTATTAAGTTTTTATTATTTTAATCTTTTTTAAACTATCATTGTTGTCATGAAAATACCCATCGTTTTAATCATTTTATCATAATATAACATATATCACATATTGTATTGTTGGCAAAGCCAAATTATCAACTGAACTTGGTTCAGACTCGTTTTTTCGTTAGCAATGTTTTGTCGTTGCTTCAGATATTCATTAAATTCTGCCTGTATCCTACCTTTCCAACTTCCCACCTATAACAGTGGCTACACCCATGTGCGAAGTATATCCGTCCTATTATATTATAATAAATTTAGTGAATATGATTATAATAAATGTTAGAATGTGGTTTTATTAATATTGGAATGTATACAAATGATTCAACAAACTCACTCATTATCTGAGAAAGTATTAACTTTGTTCAGATTTTTTTGTAAAAATTTAAGAGATAAACATAAATAAACCCATATTTTTAGTAGTAAAACCACTACCTACAACCTATTTTTTATTTTCAAATGGCAACATATACTAAAATGTTCATAGATATATAGAGTATTAATTAAAATATATTTTGGTGTTGGAAATTTTGATTTCCGTCAACCCTCTGACAAGATATTTACTTTGAAGTTTGAGTAGAGAGAGAGTAGTTGTGAATTATTAAACCACAAGCTATGCCAATTGTTTTTTAAATTAAAAAAATTTCAAACAGAGTTAATACTTTCTAGTGAGTGTTTCCAATTGAGTGAATAGCTGGGTATACACGCCAGGCTCAATTTTATTATTCTATTATTTCAAATTATTTCTCTAGGATCTTAGAAGATTGTTTTTCTTTGAAACGTAATATTATTTTTTGGTTTCTGATGTATTACTGCAATAATAGTATTTTTTGTCAAATTTAGTAAAGTATAAAACCACAAGTACTATTAGACTACTGTAATTTCACTAATTTGGAAAATGAAAATAGTAAAAATTGGGAAAAAATTACTTTTTTTTTTTTTTATTCATTACTAGTTTAAATGAAATAAAAATAATGCCTGATATATATAGGGGACACATATTTAACAGCCTAAAATGACATTATACTTAATCAAATAAGATTATTGTTATTTATTAACCTTGAACGCAATGTCTGTTGTTCTGAGTCTGCGTTCGGGTATTGGAGTCAGAACCCATGTATAAGTAATCCCAATAATTTTATCCTCTTTTTCAACCATAGTGATATTACTATCTGATGTTGAGGGAGGAGTTGGAGGTATAGTGATGTTGAGGTTTGCTATATCTTGTTCACTTGTATCCTGTAAGTTATAAAGGTTTAAAGTATATTATAATAAAAAATTAATATTATTTATTAACCTCCAAGACACTGCTTCCTGTTCTGTCTAAGTTTGCTGGTATTTCAATTAGAGTCCACGAATGACTAGCCTCACTATTACTATCATCTCCACCATTATCCTGTGAGGTTGAGAGTGAAGATATGTTGATTGATAAATCAAGAAAGTTTTCTCTTTCCTGTTGCTCCCGTTGTTCTTGTTCCTGGAATGAATAGAAATAAAAAGTGATAATATTATATTTGGTCTAATGGTTTTTAGGAGAATTGGCTTAGGACACTTTTTTCTTTACCATTATCAAGTTAAAATAAACGGCATCACACATAACCTATAATAAAGTTAGTATTGTTTACTAATACATTAAAAGCACAGGCATTGTGTGACTAAGGTTAGTACCAATTTTAATACACGAATACAATAATTTTTTTTTCAAATGATAAAATTATTTATTGTTATTATTATTTTTAATATCCGTTGACTTCAATTCTATAATTTATAAGAGTAAATTTCAAATTTATTTCTAGTTTTATTTTATCAATTTTTAATTAAAAACTGTCTTTTTGGGGTGATTAGAAACAAAATAAAAATGCCATAAAATTAACCATAATGAAGATAACCCAGAATTAGTTAAAGAAGTCGAAGATGTGGAAGACAAAAAAGAAAGTTTGAGTGATACTAATAGTTATCTTGATGAATTCCATTTAGTTGAAAAACCTCAATTTAATTCAATGCATGGCGAAACCTTTCAAAATGTATACCCAATAAAAAGTAAATCTGAAATTTCAACAGATGATTGGTTTGTTATTATTATTGGAACTGTGATACCTAATGAAATCTTAAATGGGTTAAATCTAGTTTACAATCCCAACTCATTTATTATTTTTCTAAATTGCCTAAAGACATTTTTTTATTTAATCGATAAAAAAATCTTTATAAATATAAATCAATAAAAGTATTTATATATATTGTGTATATATATATATAAACTTGTGTGGGGTTTTACTTCCAGTGAAGCAGCCCCATTCTTAATATAAATCAAATGGCTTCAGTCGTTTGATGTCCTGCGAGTTGCTGAGGAGTTATATAGTAACCGTATTTGTGTGAAGCTCCAGATTTTTGCATGACATCGTATTATTTCGATATTGGATTTACTGGCACAACCCCACAATTAAATACCATAAATCCAAATCGGTTTAACAATCGATACATACAAGAGACGTTTGCTGGTTAAGTCTAGCTCGGAGTGTCGTCAAACTAGTCAGTACAGTTTGTGCATTTTTTGTTTGATTTACAACTTTTTCTGGCGTACATGATGTTTCCAGTTAAGTCGTGAGTCAAGGTGCATTCCCAAATATTTCGCTGAATCATTTTACGGAATTATATGCTGATTAAGCGTGACTAGGATGTGTGAAGTATTACATAAGATGTAGTTAACGTGCACTGACTTATCTTCATTAATTTTTATTTCCCATCGTTTCGTCCAGTTGTAAACGGTGTTGATTGTCGTTTGTAGAATCTCAGTTGCAGCTTGTTTGTCCTTCCTTGTTGATAGTATTGCCGTGTCGTCGGCGAACAATCATTGTATTGTCGAGCTATCATTGTATTATAGAGTAGGTACAAAATAGATCTGAGAACGCTACCTTGAGGTACTCCAGCTGATATATTCTTCCAATTAGTTATCACTTCTTCGTATCTGACGCGAAAATGTCTTTCAGCCAGATATGATTTAGGGAGTGCGCACCGTGTGTGCGGAAGCTGCTCACGTAGTTTTAACTATAGGCCTCTGTGTCAAGATAGCGTTGTAAATGTGAGTAAGATGGATGAATGACTTCTTAAGTAGCTCTTTAAGGATACGTGACCTGATCACATTGAATCCAGGTGCCTTTTTCGTGTTGATATTGGTGTCGATTTCATGAGCCACTTTAAGTGGTGAAGTGCTTTATGAATTATCTTGTAGAATTTGGTGACTGCCATTGTTTGCTGCCAAGTTCAGAAATGATATCATTTGGCTGAAATACATGTTCGAGATATCGTGCGTATACCTAAGCTTTATCTTGTTTACTGCGCGCCCAAGTGTCATCTTCCATTCGGATGGGTGGCATATAGACGCGAGGACTTTTTAATTGTCCAGTGGCTTTCCATAACAAATAAACGAAATACTCTGTCTCAGATAAGCCACAAAAAACGATTTAAATATTTCATTTTTAATTTCTTTGATTTAATTGTGTAGCAATTTGCTGGTTCAGTTTCATTCGGTTTTATTGGATGGGTAACGAGTTCTGTGCCAAATTCGTCTTGCTCACCGCTTTTATTGAACAAGGTCTGCAATTTCCTTCGGGTAGGTGAACTGGCGGTCGTTGCCTTTGTAAGTTTTGGGTGTTGACGTTTTTGACGCTTTAACGATCTCATCAGTCAATTTTTGTACTGACAATTCAATGTCAGTTGATGACTTTAGCTGCATTAGATTTTTCGAGAGGAATTCTAAAAAGTTCCCAGTCTGTATGTTTGTTTGTTAGAAAATGTTTCCGTTTTTTCATAACAACATTTGAACTCAACGATAATAACATATGAATGCTCTACTAGTCCTTCAGCTTCAACATAATAAGAGGAAATACCTTTAATTATGAAGAAGTCGGGCAGATCGGAGATTTTCCTAGAATCGGTTGACCAGTAGGTTAGCTCTCTAGTAGAAATTATATCAGCGTTTATACTGTTAGCTACTTTTAGTAGAGCACGTCCTTTGGAGTGATTAGTCTTAATTCCCAGTGAGAGTGTTTGGCATTGTAGTCACCACCAGCAATAAACCTGTCTCCTAGCATTTGGAAAAATGAAGTGAATCTAGTTTCATCTGTACCTCCTTCAGGTGAACAATAAATAGCTGTGACCGTGAGGTTATTATTTCTATCTTTAACATAAAAACTTGTGACTTGTATGTACAGTTCTGAGTATTCTTCAAGCTCGAAGTGTTTTATAGTTTCTCGTATGATTACAGCTGTACCTCCGCGTGTTCTATCACTCGGGTGTAAAGTTGTATAAATCTTGTAGTTTTTTATTTTTAGAATAGTCCACGATGTAAAGTGTATTTCAGATATAAGGGTAATGTCGATTTTTTCAATATTTAAGAATTTATCTAGTTCTCGTTTACGCTGTAATAGCCTGTTGGCGTTCCATGCTTTAATCCGCAATGTGTGGTTCAATTCATAGGGAAGTTATGGAGGAAAATTTCATAAAATTAGGGTTTTCGATTTCCAATATTTCTTAGTTAGCATTTAACATTCTCAATATTTTTTTTTTCCAAAATGTGTGTTTTCTTTAAAACTTAATAAATTAGTATAATCAATACTGATCAATTATATTTACTTTTTTAATTATTGTCCATAACCCTTGAAAAATAGCATTTTTGGTATTAATAAAAAATGTGGTCAAAAATATACATTTTATTTTTATCATTATATCTAGTTGTCGATAGTAAATAACAAAGTTTTATTTATAAAGGTCAAAATAATTTTAATAATCCTTTTCACTTTGTTTTGTGAGTTATTTCCGATTAAAATTGTCGACTAAACTAGATGGACTTACTCTGACTTCGATAAAAAAGAACTTTGTTATCAAAATATCAAAATCCACAAATAAAAATAAATATTTTCTAAAAATGTCTATTTATGACTAAATATTAATCTAATTACTAAAATTTTAGTTTTCAAGGTTTATGTACAACAAATAAAAAATAAGAATTATGGGTAAATAAGTTTTACATAAAACCAATAAATTAGGCATTAAATGACACAAATTTTGGAAAAAAAATTTAAAAACTGTAAAAATATGAAGTTTTCCCTCCTATAACTTCCAGACGAAGATCAACAGATATTTATTCGATTCATAATTTCAAGGTAAAAACACAATTTAAAATAAAAAAAAAAAAATTAGAGACATATAAAAATATAAATTAAGTCAACCATAAATTATAAAATATAGTCAATAGAACTATATTAAGATACCAGGGCTTGGGAGAAAAATTAAAAATACATAAAAATATTCTAGATTATCAAAATCGAAAACTTAATTTTGTATTTTAATAAACCCGGAATCAAAACCAGTAGAGAATTAGATTTCTTTTTTATAATAATGGAAAATATCATTAGTTTATTCTATCGATAAAATTTAAATGCACTAAAAACGTATATAAAATAAACTCCCATGCACTATTAGTATGTATAATTAGCATACAATGTACCCAGGAAACTGCTATAATAGAGAAGTTAACAACTTTCGAATAAATTTATAAAAAAATATTATATTTATTTTTAATATTACATACAATTATTTATAGAACCCAAGTGCCTTACATTTCCCGTTGCTGTAGACAAATATTGATATGTTAATATTTTTAAACTTTTAAGATAAGAGGTTTAATCTGTTGATGAAATTGAAAAACATCAAAAATGAAAATAAAATAATTTCCCATCCACTACTTGTATGTACTATTTGCCTACAAAGTACTTAGGACACTGCTATTATAGAGAACTTAACAATTTTCGAAGTAACTTTTATTGGTTTACCTCAAATTCACTGAGCGGTGTTTCATTTCCGTGATCTAGTCCTGGAGAAAAAGACGATGGATTACTAGCCTCAATTCTGCCATCATCACATGATAGAAAAGTCGAAGGTGATTGCGAAGTTACACTTATTTCTATATTACGAGTGTTTCCCATTTCCTGTTGCTATAAACAAAGTTTGATATTTAAAATTTTTTAACATTCAAAAAAATTATAATGATCTATTAATATAATTTTAATACATCAAAACTAGATATTAAATTTTTCCCCAGTCAGTACTTATAGGTATAAAGTTCCTCCTTATTACCTAGGCCACTGCTATTATAGAAGACTTTACAAGTTTTGTAGTATTTTATAAAAAATTATTATTTTTATCTGTTTACCTCAAATTCTCCGTACGGTGTTTCATTTCCGTGATCTGGTCCTGGAGAAAAAGACGATGGATTACTAGCTTCAATTCTGCCATCTTCACATGATTGAAAGGTCGAAGGCGATTGCGTAGATACACTTATTTCTATAACACGATCGTTTACCATTTTCTGTTGCTGTAACCAAAGTTT